TTATTAAAATTAAATCCTTTATTTAAGATTATTTATGTGTATTGTTTAAGTTAAAAGATTTAATCACACAGTACTTTATAAATTAATTAGGTATTCTAAATAATGAAAATTTCATTCATAATGAATTAATTTCAACTATTCCTCTAGAGAGCTTGGCTTAGTCAGAACAAAACCACCAATTTTAAACTTTTTCCTTGGCACTGGGCGTCATACATGCGGACACTGACTGTTTTTCCTGATATCTTGAATCTCCTTTCAACAACTTTTCTATTTGACTTGACCTAATTCACAAGGTAGTTGCAATGAACATCTTAAAGTTAAAGGATGCCATTGTATAAAGTATGAGAAAGAGACTTATTTTTGGAGGACTCGTCTTTTTTTTTTTTACCGTATCTGTCTACTGGGTCTAACACACTGGTACATAATTTAAAATTTAATAGAAAAAAAAAACCTTAACTGACTTGAGAACATTTTTGTTTGGTTGTTAGTTATTTGAGTTGTGTACTCAAGTAATCCATAAAAAAAATTAGGGGCCAGTAAGGCAGCCAATAAACTCATTCAATTAGGTCACATCATTCCTTTGCCATTTGTCTCCTTTTACTTTCTCACATTCCTTGTTGGTACCCGTACAGTTAACTATTGTTTGTATCATTTCTTCATTTAAGTACAGATGTAATTTTTGAGTGGGAGCAAATAAATGTGATCTGTGAAGGGAGTTTGGTTTCAAGGCAACTAAGTCATGCCACATTGAAAATAAAATACTGATAACCCTAAATAAATAGAGCCATTGAAAAAAATATAGTACATACAAACCATACACAAACAGGAAGACAAAAATCCACTAAAGTTTATTTTTTTAAAATTTGTTGTGACTTTTATTGCAAAAAATTAAACATTTTATACCAATTTTGACTTTTACGCAAAATGAATAAAGACAAATTTGTAGTGCATTATATTGTAACTTATTGTACTGTATTGTAAATGAAACTTGGCATACACATTAAGAATAACATTAACATAAAGTTTAAAGAAGCTTATTACACAGCAGTTATTGGAAATGTTACAAATGGCATGTATGTGGGGGTCACATAAATATTCGAGAACTCTTCAGGAGTAGCAAATGTAAAAAATTTATTTTCTAGTTGGATATACCCGGTATATAAAAAAAAGCCTCTTGAATCTTGTAAAGAATATCAATGAAAAGAAGCATGCAACGTTTGAAGGCTGTAGCTAGAATACTTTTCCTCCCAATTCATTTGGCGCTCCTAAAAAATCCGGAAAATGCAAAATTGAGAAAAATGAAAAAAAGAATAAAATTGTGGGTTTTTTTTAAATTAGAGGTCTGCATGAACGACATAGGATGCATACACCATGTACATATACCATTCATGAATTAAAAAACAATTAGAAAACTAAGACAGAAAAGATAGAAAAAAAAAATTAACACACGAACCTAATTTAAAAAAATATATATAAATAAAAACATTCTGAAAAATTTTCCTTTGAGATATTTTCAATTATTTAGTTCCAAAACTATTCCTCCTGATTCATCAATTGACGTCAGAAAAAAAATGAAAATGCTATATCTATAAAAGCTGAAAGACACTGACAAATGCTTATTAAAAAAATTGTTACTTGAAAAAAGTACTTGAAAAACATTGGATGCATACATCATGAACACATTCCACTCGTTAATTTTAAAAAAAAACAGTTTAAGTACATAGATATAATTGATAGAATATAAATGAATGCATTTTCCCAACAACCCACTAGCCTCGAGCCTAATAAAAATAATAAGATCATAAAAACTTCGGAATTTTGTTTGAGACATGTAATAAAAAAAAACATCAACCATTATGTAGAGAATATAACAGAAAAAAACCTTGCAAATTTTGAAGCATGTGGTAATAATACTTTTCCTCATTAATACATTTGACGTCAGAGATAAATGGAAAATCCTAAGTGGACCACTTTAAAAAGAGAAAAAAATTCAATTAAGCAATATTAGATATATAGGAGTCAAATAAAATGAAATTTAAAGCATATCAATGTGAAATTATCATAAAAAATAAGAATTTTCTAGATATTTTTACAAATGTTAAACAATATTGTACATGTTAATGTTTTTTTTAATAAGAAATCAATAGACTCAGTTTAGGAAACAAAAATCTGCCCAAGAAATATAATAAAAATGGTTATTTACACAATTTTGTAAAATAATTTTCAGCACATTAAAAACATTTACATCTTTATAAAAGTAGCTGAAATCTTTCGGAACCAATCATTGCGAATTAGCAGTGAACATAAATTTACAAGAACAAGTCAAGAATGACGATTATCTCATCAAGGCCTTTTCAAACCCAGTTGTTGGGTTCAGCTGTCTATGTTCTATATACCGGTATTCACTTTTATGCGTGTTAACTTGTCCGTTGGTTCACTAGTCCTGTGTTTTGATGTGTTATGGTGAATTGTGGGTTTACTTGTCCTGCGTTCATTTGCGCGGCCACCGCAGCGGACACAAACCATAAAGTTTATGCAACATTAACGATCAGAAATCTGCTTAAACTTAAAGTAAATCTATACACGGGTAAGCCGCGGCGACTGCATTGCTGCCCACAGCCTTACTAAACAGAAACATGGCAAGGCCGTGGAGGCCACGTCGCTCTAGCTATGCCGACGTATTACTTTAGTGTATCAGAGAATGACTTTGGTAATCAGCAGGCCAGACAAGGGAAACGGCGCATGGGCAAAAAAGGTGCGAAGCGAGAGACTCGGCTACGTAATAGAATTCCACCAAGAATAGAGAGCGACCAATTTCCAAGCGTTGGGTGATGTGTAACGTGTCCTCATAATGAGCAGATCTGGGAAACGTTTCGAGCGGACCAGGGGTTATGTTGCGATATGTTCACTAGAAAGTTGTGCCACCCACTACCACTAAGTTTAAAAAAGAAACAAAAAAGCTCTTCAGCTCGCCGAAAATACCGCCCTTCATTATAATTTTTTTTTTAAAGTGGCACCTGTGTGGACCACCCCCTCCACAGGCACCTGTGTGGACCACCCCCTCCACAGGCACCTGTGTGGACCACCCCCTCCACAG